GGGAGGGAGGGAGAGAGAGAGAGGGAGGGAGGGAGGGAGGGAGGGAGGGAGAGAGAGAGAGAGAGAGAGAGAGAGAGAGCGCACAACAGAGAAGGGGGGGGGGAACCTCCTTTGTTTTTGCTGGTATGGAACTACTTATTTCCTGTGTTTCCTTGGATGTAGTTATCCTCCTTGGGTTCTAGTTTTCCTTCTAGTATTTTCTGTATGGCTGGATTTGTAGATAGATCATTTGAATTTGGATTTGTCTTGAGATATTTTGTTTTCTCCATATAAGGTGATTGAGAGTTTTGTTGGGTGTAGTAGTCTATGTTGGTATCTGTGGTATTTTAGAGGTTTCAAGATATCTGTCCAGGCCCTTCTAGATTTCCGAGACTCTGCTGAGAATTCCGGTGTAATTCTTATAGGTCTGCCTTTGTATGTTACCTGGCCTTTTTCCCTTGCCACTCTTAATATTCTTTTTGTTCTGTAGGTTTTATGATTTGACTATATGGTGGGAGGATTTTCTTTTCTGGTCCAGTCTAACTGGTGTTCCATAAGCTTCTTGTATGTTTATAGGCATCTCTTTCTTTAGGTTGGTAAATTTTTCTGCTATGATTTTGCTAAAAACATTTTCTGGGCTTTGGAGCTAGGACTCTTCACCTTCTTCTATTCCTATTATTCCTAGGTTAGGTCTTTTCATGGTATCCCAGATTTCCTGAATGTTTTGTGTCAGGAACTTTTTAGATTTAACTATTTCTGACTGATGTCATTAATCTTTTCTATTGCATCTTCTATACCTGAGATTTTCTCTTCCATCTCCGGTATTCTGTTGGTGATGCTTGCATCTGTTGTTCCTGTTTTCTTCCCTATGTTTTCCATCTCCAGGATTCCCTCAGTCTGTTTACTGCTTCTATTTCCACTTTCAGGTCTGGTACAGCTTTACTTATTTCCTTCACTTGTTTATTTTCCTATCTATATATCTTTCAGGGATTATTTGTTCTTTAAAGACCTCTACCTGTTTGATTGAATTTCCCTGTATTCCTTTAAGGGATTTATTCATTTCTTCTTTAAAGGCCTCTATCATCTTTATAAAATTGGATTTAAGGTCATTTCCTTGTGCTTCAGTTGTGTAAGGATATCTAGGGGTCGCTGTTGTAGGCAAGCTGTGCTGCAGAAGTGTCATACGCCTTAGCTTTTGTTGGTTATACTCTTTTGAGAGCCTTTAACCATCTGGATGGCTTTGGTCCCTAGATGTTGCTATTGTAGTAGGTATTGGGAGGAGTGTTAACCTTGATGGTCCTGGTATGGCAGAACTTTGGATATCCTTGGGCTGTATGGTTCTGGATCTGCAAGTGTGTATGATTCAGGGTCTGCAGATTTTATGAAGGTGGGCAGAGAGGTGGTGGGAGAATGGAGGTCCTCCTGGACTATCAGGCTGCTCAGAGCAGCTTAGAGTGCCCAGAGGAATGAGAGAGCAAAGAAGATGGGTGGGAGAAGAAAAGCTTACCTGTATGGCTCAGGCTCAGCAGGTCTGATGAAGGTGAGAGGAGGAGTAGTGGGAGAATGGAGGTCTCTCTGGGCTAGCAGGCTGCTCAGGACAGCTGGGCTTGCTCCAGAAAATTTAGCAAGTAGGGGAGATTATTATTTTCATTAAAGACAAAGATTTTTTAAAAAGTGGATTATAGAACTTTTATACATGTTTATTTCATTTTTGGTTCTCCCATTTCTTTCCCCTGTGCCTCCAAGAAGGTCTCCTTCCTCTTCTTCCTCCCTAGTTGCCCCAATTCTGTTGTTACATGTATCGTATTGCCCTTTCTGCCTCCTCCAAGACCTTTCCCCCTTTTTTAGTTTCATGGACTACGTCCACATCCATATCTACACATAAATATAAAAGCTGAAGTCTAGGATCTGTGTAAAACACTTGGGATTTGAGACATTCTTCTTGGAAGCCTGGAATCCAGGCTGGGCTCCTCAGATCTTACCTGGCTCCAGTGGTTGTAATGACTCAAGTTTTGTATCTGATTTTTCTTTTTCAGTTCCAAAGTGCTTGGGAAAGTGTGCTCAGTTTATAAAGTGTTTGCCACACAAGCATGAAGACCTGAGTTAGAGCCTCAATACTTATGAGTTTAGTTGCCAGTCAGTCTAGCCCACTAACTTCTAGGCCAACAAGAAGCCTGTCTCTCCTAGCAAGGTGGGGAGCTCCTAAGGAAAGACACCTGAAAGACACCTTTCGCTTCCATGAAGGCTTGAATACACAGACATATACATGAGCACATTCACACTCAAACACAATTTCATCATTCTAGCTTTAAAATCTTGCAAATGAATCAAATTGGTCTGGCCTGAGTCAGATGTGCACTAACTAGTAAATCAGTTAACTATGGGGAGAGACAAACAACCCATGTAGCTCTTCAGAGATTCCAGGTCAGGGCAGCCACAGCTGCCCCAAGAAGAGAACACTGAGCAAGAGCACAGCTGCCCACTGCAAAATCATGCTGTATACCAACTTATACAAATACAAAGAAACCACATTAGTATACATGTTGGGCCAGTACTTAGATGCCTAAGAGGCCTGAGTGCTGACAGTTGAGCAGAAAGCAAGCAAGGAGAGGGAGAAGTAGGAAAAAGAGAAACCACAGAACACATGAAGCATCCCACCTTATCATCTAACAAGCAAAATGAATTATGTAAAGTTATTTGTGAAGAGTAAACATTTTAAAACAAGTAATATTTTTATTTTCAAAGTTTCATAAACAATTTGCAAGAAGGGTGCAGCCTTTCACCCAGTTTTTACTTTAACACCTTACATTAGTAGGTGCATTTTCCACAGTTAACAATATAGGTTGATATTTTATTAACTGCATAGTATTCAGACTTTCTTAGTCCTTTCTGCTTCATCATCCTATCCAGGAGGACATTTAGCAGTCATGTCTTCTTAGATTCTTCCTGCTTCTTAGGCTTTTCTTGTTTTTGATGACCTTGACAGTTTGAAGACTAGCCATCATATTTTTGTAGAATATTCTGTAATTCTTCCTTATAGTCAAACAGAGGTTGTGAACTGTCAAGAGGAAGGTGTCCTTTTCATGATGGCATATCCACTGTGTGTACTGTCAGCACAGCTTTCACTGTTGACGCTAACCTCACTCACTTGGCTGAAGTTTTATAAGCTACAGCCAATTACAATAACTTCCAGAATGAACAAAAATAAACTAAGGCACATCAAGAAAATTGAGTTTGATTTTTTTAACTTGAAAGACATTGCTTCTCTTCAGCAAGCACAAGACCTATTAAAACAATGATCATATATTCTTAGCTAATTTATGAAGATTAATACATTGGTGGTAAAAGCAACTGTAAGTACTAACAACTATCCTTGTCAAAAATATTATCCAAATTCACTGGACTGTTTTTTTTCACTAAAAAGAACTGAAATGGCACAGTGGCACACATCTGCAATGCTACACTCAGAAATGAGGCACAAGGATCACTCTGAGACCATTTTTGGCTATATAATCAGACCAGGTGTCCAAGGAAAAACCGTGGAACCTCTGCTACTTGCTGGTATATGATGCAAGCAAATCTAATTAAATCAGTGGATGAAAAGAACATACCTGTTGACCTAAGAGTAATAATTCAAATATTTAGTCATTTTAAGAAATCTAGGCAACTGACATTTTCATTGTATTCTTATAAAATATTTTAATATTCATACATGCATATGTTTTAATCAAATCTGCCATCTAACCCCTCATTACTTTTCTCTCCCACCTTCATGGGCTTCTTTCTTTCTTTCTTTCTTTCTTTCTTTCTTTCTTTCTTTCTTTCTTTCTTTCTTTCTTTCTTTCTTTCTTTTTAAATACTCACCATGTGCATTAGTGCTGCCTGTATTCCATGGGTATAGGACTATCTAGAGGAATATGAGTGGCATCTCAGGGCCCAGGTCACTGTAGAAAACAGACTGTCCCTCCCAGAGCAACCATCATATGCCAATAGCTCCTCAGAACGGTTGGTGCTGTACGGTCCTCTCTCCCACCCATGCTGGGATCCAAGCTGCCTTGATCTTGTTTTCACAATTTTTGAACAAAGTAGTACTAAAAAATTTAACTAGTAATACTTTTGAAAGTGTCTCATCACAAGAAAACAAGTTGAGAGTTGTGATTTTATTTTTTTCAGGCTGAGGATGCAAAAGAGAAGAAACTCCAACAGGGACAGACAATGATGTGCAGGCAAAATCCCCAGTATGTTCTCAACTTTTCCCAGTTTAACAGTTATAATAAACACACTTTACAAGTTGCCAAAAAGTTTCGATTAAATATACAACACCCGTTTAGAAATCGTGTAGAAAAGTACATGGAAACATTTGTAAAATATACCTACCCATCAGGAGGGAGAAAACACTCTGCTGCCAGACATATGGAAGTTGTGGGCATCCTGCATGAATCGATCTCACTAACTCCCAGAAATAAATACACCTTTAAATCTTTCTAACCTAGATGTTTCTCAAACACTTCGTCAGGGAAGCCTTTTATTATCATATATTTATTCATCAACAAGTGATGCTTTGAAACAATTTCCAAAACCCTGTTTGTGCACATAAATATTACAATTCTAATGAATTTGAAACAATTTCCAAAACCCTGTTTGTGCACATAAATATTACAATTCTAATGAAGAGTTTATCACCAATCTATTTTAGTGTACTAGAGAAAATTAGTGACATTTACAACCTCAAATATTTTTCTTTATAGAATTATATTTAGAAATCTATTTTTATAAACTATACCAGGGAAGAAATGGGGAATGCTACCAAGACATTACCAGGGACTGAAAGCACACAGCACAATAATCTTAACCACTCTGAAGTATTTTCGAGAGGATGAGGGCACTGTTGGCATAATGAACCACTGAGGAAAGAAGAGCCCCTGACCAGGCTACCTTTGGTCTCTTAACAGACCCTGAGCACTAGTGGGACATGGGAAGTCCCCATTACTGAGGTGGTTCAGTGACATTCTCCTAGCTTCCTGATGAGATGGCATCTAATGGGTATATGGAGTTCATGTGGCTCCCACAAGGAGAAGGGAATACTTAGCTTCGGCCTGTGTCTAAAGACATGACTGGGCAACACTTCACTACTCCTCCTCAGTCTTGTAAACTCTGAGATTATAGACAGGTCTGGGTCACCACATCCAGCTTGTAATATAATTTTTCTACAATGTAAGAAAGCATTTTGTGTTCTAAGACTTTACACACTAAATGATAAAATATAAGGAATTTATTGGCAAATTATGACCATTACAGTTAGTGGCAAAGATTCATTCATGATTCATGTAACATAGTACGTTTTTCACCTGTCATTCAATATTTTCATTCTTTTCACCTTGAGATGCCTACTTTAATTCTTTTCGTAAAACACAGGTGGTGGCTCACAACCTCACAACCTGTCACTGCAGCTCCAGGGATCCAACACCCTCTTATGGACTCTGAGGGCACCTGTGCTCACATGTGCATGAACACACACACACGCACACGCACACGCACACGCACACGCACACACAAAATTAACCCCTGTAGATAGAAGAGGACTGTGAATTCAATTGTACAAAGGTAAATGGTAAGTGTTCACACAATGGGATCAGAAATCCCGAGGGTCTGGGAAGGTAGCTGGGTCCTGGTCCTGTCTATGTCAGCATTGCTGCAGTAGCTCCTGAGCTGCTACCTAGACTGTTCCACCGTGATGCTGAGGCCTGTGTTAGAACCAGTATTTCTCACTTAATGCACTATAATGAGTTTCCTGCTGTATCAATAGAAAATAAAAGTATATTTTGCTCAGCTGAGATTACTCTTCTAGAGCATATATTTCCTTACCTGCCAATTTGAAAAATGTATTAACTTTTAAAGAGTTTTTTAGTCATTTATAATATTATAACTTCAATCAAAAGCAATTTTTTTAAAAAAAGGGATATATACCAGCAAAATATCAGCCAAGCACTTTACAGTATTGTACAAGCAACTCTACACTGTATAGGTCACTTTATGGAAAACCCAAATGAAAATTACTCTCAAATTACTTCATACATTGGAATATACAAAGGGAAAGCCCAATCTAATGAGATGGCTGGCCTTTGGTCAGGGCTAGAATATCAAGACAAAAGAGTATCAATTTGAGTCTTTATGATACTGTCAAGAAACTACAGCCTCTGATTTAGGGAGTGACACTGAAACAATAACCAACAAAGCCGCAGAGTCCCCCCAAATTTGAAGTTGATCCAGAAACTGACAGAATGTAAAGGTGAAAGCTTTGCTAGCTGGCTGGCTACGAGAACCCCTGAAGCAGCTCAGAGAGGCACAAGCCAACATACTGCAGGAACAGGGATGGCAGAGCCTGGCACACAGCTTTGCCCTGGGGCTCAACTCAGTAAACCCCAGATTGCAGCCCCACCTGTCTTTCTTATCACATGCTCCAGCAGTCAGAGCTACCACAAAGCGAGCTGACACTGGGTTTATGGGTTTATGCTGTCACCTGTGGTTCCATTCAGTCCCCACTTAGGGATGACTTTGGAAGGTGTCAGTACCGCCCCACAGGTACATGAAGCTGACAGGGAGGAGCGAAGGGCTGCAGGTGCTCTCAAACATTACTGGGAAAAGCTGTCAGACAAAAGAAAAACCATTACTTCAGAACCCCTGTAAATCCAGAATTTGTACTGTGCGTTATCATCCATCATCTCTTAAACTGTAGTGCTACATGTATGTGTGTGATGTATACCTGCATGACACATGTGCAAGTGCATGGTGAGTGTGTGTTACAGCATGTACTCAGAGACCAAAGGACAACCTCTGGAAGTCTGTTTTCTCCTTCCAGTGTGGGTTTCAGGGGTCAAACTCAGGTTGTCCGCTTGTGCAACAAGCACTTTTACCCACTGAGTCATCTTGCTGGTCCAATATCCATTTCCTTGAATCCTTGGTGGGATTTTCCTTTAAGAAGGAGAATCAGGACGCAGATGCTGACTGATCGCTTCACCAATATCACATAAGATGGATTTTGGGTTTGCCACACAGTTGGAGTTTCTTTGTTGTGAGCAATTGTGCCAGGCCATTAAGAAATACCAGGAAGATGGTGATGGACATGACAATCACATAGTGGCTGATGCTGCAAAAGGAGAAAAGAAACATGTAGCATGCAAGGAGGGAAGGTATGAGAAAAAGCACAAGATTCCTCCAACTTTTAACTGGAGGAATCTTTAACTTGATATACAAAACATGGAATTACAAAAAATGCATAGAGCCTGAGTCTCCAGCACCCATGTAAAGTGGTAGCACATTGTTCCTGCTGGAGATGAAGACTGGAGGATCTCACGTTCTCACTGCCCAGCCAGCCAATCTAGGAAAAATAGTTAAGAGAGTACCTACTTAACATATCAAAGTAGACCTGGCCACCAGGTTCTCCCAGCATCCCTTTGTCCCAGCCAGTTACAGGGTGTGGCTGGCATACCATGCTCCCTACCCTAAACTCCTCCAGTCCAGGAGCTGGGCTGCTCTTCCCCCAGTTGCCCTTCCCTATTTAATTCAGCCATTTTGGTTACCTGGCCCTTTTGTCTGCCCTTTACTCTCCTGGTCTCCTGGCTCTCCCCTCTCCCTGCTTCCCTTCTCCTCATGTGGCCCAGCTCAGGGTCATGTTCTCCCTGGGCCCTCCCAGACGTCTGTTCCTTTTATCTCCTCCCCCACCATACCTAGAAATAGTCCTATGCTTCATTTATTTCTTTTTTTCATTCATCTGGTGCAGAAACTATGAGACTGAAGTAAATGAGTTCTTCCAAGAGACCTGGCCTCTCCAAACCAAGCAAGCTGCTGCCTTGACTCTCCTAGGGTTTGTTTCTGTTTGCTTTTGCCACCCACCACATTTGATTCCAAATTCTGTAGTCTGCATCTTCAGCCACTTTCTCCTTCCACCTACTCAACCATCCGTGTCTTGCCTACTCAGTGAGTGTCCTCTCTCTGGCTCCTGGCGCTGTCTATGCTCTTCAGGGCGTCTCCCTGCTCCGCCCTCTGGGACCCGTCATGTGGGAACTCTATTTACTAAGGCATTGCTCCTCTCCCTCTTTTGGAGCTCTCCCTTTTTCTCAAGGCCCCCTCAGTCTACCTTCTCAGCTGTTTTCTCCTCTACCGGCTCTACCTGTCTTTCCCCCTCAACTAGGTAAGTGTTCCCACAGAGCTGCCTACTTTGTCTACCTTTACTACAAAAGTGACAGTGGTGTGTCAGGATGCTCCTCTCACCCTGCTGGGGCCCCTACCACGTGGAAAAGGACATCTCTCCTTTGTGTTTGGAACATTTCTCTCAGACAAATCTTCAGTCTGCTTGGGAACACCCTGGATTGAAATTCTTGTCTCCATGACACTTACACCCAATGCTCCCTAATAGCCTCTCTTCAGCTTCTTCCTGGAACTTCCTCATCTAAATGCTAAGTTCCTAGCTTCTCTACATGCTACTGGACCTACACTGCAACCCTGGCCTCACCTGCCACACCTGCACAGCTCCGTGTACAGCTCCCTCCCTCCTGAAGTTTCCTCCCTCTTGAAGCTGCTTGCTCTCACTCTGAAGCCCTATACTTTGTGTCTCTGTCCCTTCTCAGCTCGAAAGTCTCTGCTGCTTTTCCATGCCCTTCTGGGCCTGCAACCCTTTCTTTGGGCCCACCCCCCCCACCCCCCACCTCCACCCCAGCTCCCTTGGAGCTCCCTGCTCTCTCTCTCCAAGTGGCCTCCTGGGCTTGTACATTGTGAATTTCATTGCCTCCTTCTAGGCGCTGCCTGCTAAATCCTGAAGCTCTTTTAAGCCCTTCTGGGCCTCAGCGACCTTGTCCCTCCTGGAATTCCTGCAGTTCCTCTATGCTTTCTGGGCATGGGAACCCTCCCTCAGGTGGAGTTCCTGTTTATCCTCCTTGCCCCTCATGACTACTGTTCTGTCTCTTAGCTTCCTCTTAAGAGTATATTCAACTCTCCCTGTGAAGGAGTTTGTTTTTACCTCCTTTTCTTCTCAGACTCACAGATTTTATTAAAGTCTTGCTATCTTACTGCAAATGGCTTGGCCTCAGTATACATAGCTCTATGGCCAAAGATGGCACAAGCCAGTTTCAAATTCTCACAGATATTAACAACTTCTGCCAACACACAAGCAAGTAATTCCAAAGTACTTTATCTCTTAGGTTTTTCAAATTTCCACTCAAATCTTTTATCGCTATGATTTACTTCTCTGTGCTCTGCTCTCAAGAAATTTTTTATAGTCTTTATCTCAGAGTTTATAAATTAAAATCTGTAAAATATATAACAAAAGTTACCTTAAAACTTATAGCAAAAAGTTAAGTTAAAAAAATCTATACATAGGTAATCTTAATTTGCTACAGCATAGTATATACAGTTCAACGTGTGTGTGTGTGTGTGTGTGTGTGTGTGTGTGTGTGTGTGTGTGTAACTTGAATTCAACTCTTGTTTAGGAAAATAGATGTCCTTAAAAAGCAACCATGTGGCTCTCCTCCGTCTTGGCTGACAACCTCAACAAAATGAAAACAACCACTACATGAGTGACAGTCATTTTACTAAGGCTAAAGAGCACATGCTACGTGATTTCTCCATCTAAAGTTGACTAACCGTGTGGCATTAAGCAGCATTTATAAAACTTCTCAGTCCTAATGAGCTCTGTTTATCATTATATCTCCTTTTTAGGATAAGGAGACAATATCAGGTTCCCAAAATATATTGGATTAGCATGGACTTTTGTATGTTTGTATGATGATAAAGATTTAAGGTTATAAAGGCCTACTAAGACTAGCAAGAGCTGACTTACAGAGCTAACCTTAATTACTTATATCTCCACCCTTTACCGCCAGAGGATTTAGATAGGTAACAGCACGTGTTTGATAAAAAAGGTTTATTTAATAAATAAGATTTATAAATTCTTCAGGTCTATTCAGGTTCCCAGTAATATTTATCTAGGTTCTTTATCTTTGCTCACTTTGTTAAACTTTAGATATTTGGATAAACAAAGTCATACAAAAAACTGTGATATTTGATAATGGTGGACTAGAAAAGAATCAGAAAAGTTCCTGGTCTTCCTACAGACTGTATTTATGGTTTAAAGTTTTATTTTGATGCTAAAGGATCTTCAATTAAATCTTCAACTCAAATATTAAAGTTCAAACTTAACAGGGATAAAGCTGTAAAGTTTTAGTGTTAAAATCCTTGAAAAATCCTAGCTACTAATGTAAACTGTGAAAGATAATTAAGACATACAAGTTAATGTATTAAAGGTTAAGCCTAAACTTGGATATATTTAGTAAATGGTCCTGAAACTTTTCAGAGATCTGCTGAATATGGTATTTAAAATGTTTAATTTAAAAACTTCACAAAACAAACAGAAATGTTCCTAGCAGAAACCCCAAGGTCTCAGAAGAAGATGGATGGGGCACACAGACTACACCTGAATTACAGTAACATCGACCACAGGGCAAGGCTGCCCCATGTTTCACCTATCGTCAGGGCTCTGTGCAAGCCGTGGACAAGTTAGGGTTGATTGCCCTATTTTGCCGGGTCAAAGTAAGGTCAGTCCTCAAGTTCTTCTTCTGCAGAGAAGTCTCCCAGAGCTTTTAGGTTTGACAGCTGAAGGCCAACGCAGCTCTGTGTGGCAGCTGAAGATTAAATGTTGTCCTATATGACAGGTGAAGACCTAAGACCACTGCCCCCAACAAAACTATCAAGAACCTAGGGCAACCATCTGTGTTGTGGGTAAGTCCCTGTCACTTTAATTGATACATACACCATTTAGATTATACCTCCTGCTGTAATTTATCCTTCTCAGATCTCGGAGGATAAAAATTGTAGATTTAACAGCAACAAGCACTCAGCTCCTACCACAAAGCTTCATCTGTCCTCTCAGGTCTCTTCATATGTAAAGTGAGGCCTCGATCTCCTAGAGCTACTAGGTCTCCAGTATCACAGTTTACCGTGATACTACTCTCAAGAGATAAACTCACAAAATAGGTTCCAAAGTAGCATTTTACTATTCCTTTCTTTCAAGGTGTCTTGCAATGACTGCTCTCAGTAATCAACTACCTGTGTGTCATGGTAAATGAGCAAGCAGAAAAACATTTAAAGTATGGGTAAGTTCTGAGGATCTAAGAATGTGTTCTAAAGTATATAAATACAAGTTGTAAAGGTATGGCAATATGAAAGGTTCAGTAAGGGTTGTGAGGGTCAAAGATCGTTTTAAGATGTGTCAAAGTCTAAGAAAATGATTAACATATGAAATGTTTCATATTTCTTTCTTCCTCGCTATGATATTACTCTACTAAAACTTCTAAAGTTCAAAATTCCAACATCCATTTTTGGAGTTCTGATAAGCTTTGGTAAGGCAGTGAGCACTATCAAAGATTTTAAATTTCCTTTGGTTGTCTTCTAACAACAGACTTAAAAGTCCTTCTCATTGTGCTAAAAACATCTCTGTCCAATGTATACATCCAGCCCTCTGTAAATCTAAGTGCTAATGCTTATAACCCAGAATTATTTTTGGTCCTCAAGCTTTTACTTTGACTTAAAGGCATGAGTCTGCTGACCTTCCTACAATGTGGATTTCAGTACAGACTGCAAACAGTGGTAATGCTAATAAACTTTTATCTCTTTTTCATAAATTTCAAAATGTCATATAAGCTTCAGGGAGTCTACTTGGATCCACCGAGCAGGTCAAATGGACTGTAGACAAATGCTCTTGTGTTTCTCCACCTGTCTAGTCCGGAGGGTGGGATCGCCCTCCCCAGGTCTTGGGACTCCCTTCCCCCAACGACTGTCTGGTCCCCCAAGAAAGTACTTTTCCCAAGGTCAGGCATTTAGACAAAAGCCCTCCTTTCCTCAGGGGCTTGAACAAAGTTCCTGCTTGCTAAAAGGGAGTCATTCTTATCTCTGGCTTATGGGCTCCCTCAGTCCTACTCACAAGCTTTATCCCAGCTCATGAGTGAGTCCCCCTTTTCTAGGTCCCATTTAACCTTGAAAATCTCTCCCCATCTCTTTCTCTTAGCTTTCCCAGGACACAGCCTTGGCAGTTTGAAATAAACCCTTTTGCCTTTTCACCCATGGAGCTGCTGTTTTAGTTTCTTTACTGTACCC